TGATTCTGAAATATATAAAAGGTGAATATGGGCCAATTCACCTATCATGTGAACCACTTATAGATGCATATATAAGATGGTTACATGTATGTTTATTGTCAACCTGCAGTTTGGCATTTGAAATTGCTTTTCTCACGTAAGAGCATAATTTTCAGATTATGAAATCAAAACAGTTCATCTTGATAATGCTGGTTTATATATAAGCTAGTTTAGCAGTGAATACCTCCTATTAATGGCTAAACTATTGTTTATGAGAACAAAGCTTCATGTGTTGGTCTAAGATTTTCTAAATTGCATATAGCAGCACTTGTATGCATCAGGCCAACAATATATGATAAGTCCTCCCCTCACAATTGGTTTAGGATCAGAAACCAAATATTTTACTATCTTTTGATGTATGGTATATGATTAATTTCTCTACCACAATGCACAAAGATATGTTTCCCAAAGAAGTTTGGGGATATATGTTAGTTTTTCTAACATTTGGGGGATGGAATAAACAACTGAAAAATATGCTATATGAATCGAATTATCATTAATATGACCCTCACTTAGAAGATAATTCAAGTCAAATGCCAGAAGCATTTGCTGATCCAAAATCAAATATCATATTTCAGCTGCAAATGCTCCTATTAAAATTTAAAGTCCCTGAAGGATAGAGTTTACTGTACGCATCAAGCGTGGTAGACCAATCGATTCCAAAGGTAATAATCCTTGAAAAATGATAAGGAGCTAATGATCAAAATAATCATAATGAGGAGGAAATGAGCTCTAGAAGAGCCCACGACATAACATTTCATGAAACTCCAGAAGAAGTTGAGGTACCTGAAAATAAAGAAAGTGATGAGATCTCAACAAGTTATGTCGCTTAGGAACCGATACAAAATGATCGTCGACGATATATTTGATACAATATAGTGCACAATACTGTGAAATATTGTGAGGACAAGACCAGTAATTTAGTTCAGACACCTGAAGATGTCATGCCATTTAAATGCGAGTCATAACCTATATGACTCATTTGATTAAATCTCTATAAATATCCCTAAAGGATTTAAAATGCCTGAAGCATATAGTTCAAAGTCTCGAGAAATGTACTCGATCAGATTATAAAGATCTTTGTACGGTTTAAATCGATCTGGGCGCATGTGATATAATCGCCTCAGTGAATATTTGCTGAAGAAAGTTACATAAATGATGTTATTTGTCCATGTATTTTTATAAAGAAAATGTCATCAGAATTTGTTACACTTGCTGTTTACGTTGATGACATAAATCTTGTTGGAACTCCAGAAGAGCTCCAAAGGCAATTGAATATCTTAAGAAAGAATTTGAGATGAAAGATCTTGGAAAAATAAAATTTATCTTGGTCTGCAAATTAAATATTTAGCAGAGATCTTTATCCATCAATTTGCCTATACAGAAAGGGTCTTTAAACGCTTTTATATGGACAAAGCGCACCCATTAAGTACATCAATGGGTGTTCGATCACTTGAAGTGAATAAAGATCCGTTCCGACCTCCAGAAGAGGATGAGGAACTCCTTGGTCCTGAAATACTCTATCTCAGTGCAATTGCTATGCACTTATGTATCTTGCTAATGCTAACAAAGGTGGTGCAGATCGTATTGGTTATGCAGATACAAGATTAGAATGCAGAGACTCAAATATTTGAAACAAGGTTTTCATCAGGGGGAGTAAAATACGCGATGCACTCTTTTTTCCTTACTAAGGTTTTTTCTCACAGGGTTTTCCTTATAAGGTTTTTAATGAGGCACCTAGAAATGCGTATTACTAAATATGTGCACTCTTTTTCCTTCACTAGAATTTTTTCCCACGGGGTTTTTCCTAGTAAGGTTTTAATGAGGCACACTATCTTTTAATGAACATCCAAGGGGGTCCGCCGTAAATATGTTTATCTATTTAGTACTCTATTGGAAATAAGCCTCCTGAAGAAGCTTATCACTTCGGTACCCGGTTGTGGATAAATATTACTTCCGGTAGAAGATTATCCATACCGGTATAATAAGCTTATCCTTTCAATACTCCGTTATGGATAAACACTACCCCCGGTAGAAGATTATCCATACCGGGTATAATGAGCTTATCCTTTCAGTACTCCGTTATGGATAAACATTACTCTTAGTATAAGATTATCCATATCTGGTGTAGTAGCAGCTTACACACCAGCTTGTAGTAGCTTACACAGCAGCTTGTAGTAGCAGCTTACACAGCAGCTTATAGTAGCTTACACAGCAGGTTGTAGTAGCAGCTTACACAGCAACTTGCAGTAACAGCTTACACAACAGCTTCCTTTCTTCTATAAATAGAAGAGTTTTCAGTTCATTATGTACATCAGTTTGAATTCGAATAATATATCAGTTTCTCTCTATACTTGTCTTTAAGTTTACAGTCTTTATTTTATAACAAAAAGGACTATTTTAAGAATTCTACTTTTGTGAAGCTTTCATTTTGCGTGGATAATAGTACTAGACTTATTTACAAGTAGGGGTAGCAAACTGAATTAGAAGGAATTTTTACCTCCTATAGCAAAGGTTAACACCTTATTTATCTTAAATAAATACCATTTTAAAAAAATTATATTCTATAGGTACCTTTTAATGTTTATAGCAAAATATCTAATTTTGGTTACCTCCTACCCCTAAGCCACTAAATACGCTATCCAGTTATACTATTTTCTTTCTCTCTCTACTTTGATACACGCCATTCTCTTCCCTCATTCCCTGAAGCGATTAAAATCAATTGGGCTGCTGGTGCTAATTTTGCAATAGGAAAATCAAGAGCAGGAAAAGGAGACTACGACCCACTTGGTTTAAGCAATGAGGAAGTTCGGGTTTCATCAATCTCGTCCGTTCCGTTTGCTCACCTTTTCGATTTTTCTTAATAAAAAACTGCAGTTGTTTATTTATTGCTTCACTTTCTTAATTGTTGATAGTTGGTGCAATCTCAGTCATGGTTGGTGGAGGAAATTTCCTTCATAGAGTTATTTCTTATGTCGCCAATGAACTGGGGAATAAAGAAGAGGCTAAAAGGGAAAAGAAGAAGGTGAAAAGGAACGTTATTGTTAGAGTTGCAGCCCCAGTGATTCGGGGTTTTTGCTCGACGGCGGATTCGCCGGAAATTAGGGTTTGTTCTTGAACAGAGACGACGGAGTTTGGGGCTGAGCAACTTGATTTTATGTTAATATATTTCAATGTATTTTCATGTATTTCATTGTATTTATTGTGTTTTTTTCAGTGTAATTCAATGTATTTCGCTGTATTTCATTGTATTCACCGTCTTTTTTTCATTGTATTTCAATGTATGTCGCTGTATTCTATGTATTTTCATTGTATTCACTGTCTCGCTATATGCCATGAATGTATTCATATATTTTTTTTTAATTAATATAATTTATGTATTCAGATGTATTATATAATTTCTTCGAAGATTGCTATGTTTTTGGGATATTTTTCGGTTGAGAATCTTTTTTGTAACTGGAAATACAAAATTTGTGTGTTATAATTGAGTTTGTTGAGTTATATTAGGAGTCTATTATGTTAATTGATTCACTTTCCGTTTAAAAACAGTGTAATCCCCTGTTTCACGCCGTGAATACAGTCGAATACAATAATCTGTCCAGCTGTAATCCCATGTTTCACGCCATGAATACGCACAAAGACTCCTAAATCCATCCCGAGCCCTTTCTTCCACCTCTCCTCTCCAATCCTCGATCAAACTTGCGTTCCCAGTGGAAAACCTGCGCTTCTTCAAATATCCCATAAATCTAAATAAAGTAGGGACTTCAAAGCTTGACTAACAAGCGAGAAAGTTGACTTTGAGAAAGAAAAGGGGCGCCCTAGCTGCAATCAAAAAACAGCGCTAACGAGCAAGAAAGGCCCCCTTACTACACGAAAACCAAAATCAGAATGAGGAAATCGTGATGTAAGTCTATTATTCCTTGCATCATATCTGCGAACACGAACATCAAACTGGAAATTTTAACTAAGAGTGAGTGTACCACAAGACCAATCATTTTGTTTGGTTCATTCTTTGACTGCTCTGCTCCCCCCAAAAAAAAGAGAGACTTGTAGGAAATCGCCGGTTGGGTTTGTTTATCCAACCAAGAAAGGCATGGGACTTTTGGGCATGGTAACATTGCTCATGCTTCCCAAACGTCACGCATTTTTTAGGTCATTAGTCAACAGCTCCCTGGACAGCGAAATAGGGGTGACTTCACATTACAGTCGAATACACTCGAATACAACAACTGATTAGCTGGACTTCCCTGATTCACGCCTATTTTTGCTACTGTATTCATGAACTTAAATACATCAAATACATCTTATAACCACAGAAAAGGTATCTATAATCCATAATATAGCAAATGGTATCTAGAGATGGCTAATTACTAGTAAAAGATAGTGCTTTATGAAAATTTCTCTTAAAAGAACAGTTATCTATCCATATAATCCACTCAAAAATAGGTTGGATAATAAACTTTTTAAAAATGGGTCAAATATGGACAAGAACCACTTAAAAAAAGGATAACTAATGGTTTAACTTTTATATTCTTAAGGATTCAAATAGGGGGGTTCTTCAAGTTTGGGAGACTAGGAATTCTCCCAAAGGTGATCATATTCAAGAAGTATGGATAATATGGATACTCATATTATCCGCCGGTTAATCTATTTTCTATCCATATTAAATATGGGTCGAGTCAAATAATTTATCCGTTTTTCATTACCCGTTGTCGACCCGCTCATATCCAACCCCGACCGCCCATTTAACACCCTTTTTTGCAAGTCTAATTCCCCTTTTTTGTTCCCTCTTGCTCATTCATAAAAGGATATGAAATATGACTTGAGACCTTTTTGTATAGGGACTTGCTCTTATTTTCTTGATGAAGTTCAATTGGTTAGACAATGTTAGAAAAAATGTGAGACACCGAACTGTGACTGGGAACAGAAGATGTCAAACAAATACATCCAAAATCTTGGCATTTTCCAAGAAATGTGACTCTATTGCATGGATTTATCCCTAATGATCAAAAACCTACAGAATTTCTTCCTACTGGAGACATTTCCTAAACTAACTGAACTCATGAAGTTGTCCTTTTCACTAAGAATATCTTTGATACATCACCACCTAGTTCCTCGAACATGACGACCAAATTTTGTGTTGGTTTCAACCAAGACCTTGGGACATGGTACCTGAGAATTAGCCGAATAGACAAAAGATTAGTTAGGAAATTCTAATGTGTATTTAATGATATAAAGGAAATTTAAGCAGTAGTAACATGGTTCTAGTGATGACAGAATCAGTAAAAATTTCAAGAACTACCATTTCTGAGTTGGTTGTCCACAACCAAGTTGACATTTAGTTTGTCTGTAAGTTCCAGCATAGTGGAAAGCATCACAATTGCCATTAGCAGTTGCTGTCCAATATCTACCTATGCTTTGTCCATTGATCCAAACTTGTCCCTTACCCATGCTTCTCATGTCTAAGGCCACAGGGTCATTTCCCTCTGGTGCGTCGAAATAAGCCTGAAACAAACATTCCAAGATGAGTCATAAGTTCCAGCAACAAGTCTATGTTATAAACAACAATAACTACGCCTCAATCCCAAGCAAGTAGGTGTGGACTATATGAATTTGTCGCTCTATTTAAGCTCATCACCGACCAATATTATACAAAAGATAAAAGAAAATAAGAAAGTACGAGTTCACTATATTTTCTACTGGCATATAAATCTCTGGCATGACTATAACTCCTAGAAAACATACAACCTAAAGTAAACTTCTCAGCTATTACTATATTTTCTTACCTTGTACCATTTAAGAGGTTGCTGTCCTTGGGTAGCTAGTGCACCGCCAATCCAATCAACTGAAGACACTCCATGATGAGAGATCAAGTTCATTGCTTCTCCTTTCAATCCGACCTGTTTAAGGAGGAACAGATTAATTATATCGTGAAGAAACTCTTCTACTGTCAATCCTTTGAAGGCAAAAGGAAGCGTAAAAGGATTTGGTAAGATTCAGTACTTTGTATGTCCATTTCTGCGATGATAAATCTTTATGGCCCTGGTTGAGACCTTGAAGAACAACTGGCCCGAGTATTCCTGTGTTCCATTCCTCGTAATGCATTCCAATATTCTTCAAGGCGATAAGAGTTTTTAAAATCAATTGAGTACGAAAAACTATTAGTGCAACAGCATAGAGTAACACAAGTAGAATGACATTTGTTTCTGCCTGAAATGAATCACTAATTACACAGTGGTAGTCTAGCAGCAATGAAAGAGTCAGAAGAAGTTGCCTTCTCCTTTCTTGTAGATAAGTATTGTAGGTGGTAACAATGAGAAACTAACCGGCAGGCCTACAGCAATGCTCAGTAGCTCAATTCTATTGGTTCCGGCCTGCAGATCAACTGGTCCTGTGAAAGTGAACTTTGTATCCCTCCGAGTACCATAAGAAGATCCTAAAAATTAGGAATTGATTACGTCCAGGAAAATGTTATAACCAGAACAGGAAATACCAAAATGTTTCCTGGTAGCTGTTCTACCAATGTGCATATAGGCATCATTACCTGAAAGTTTACCATTAACAAAGACATGAACTGCATGCCCACTTGAGTGGACGCTGAGACTCGGTTTCTGTCCACCTCGCAGAAATGATTCTGAGGGACTAATATCAACACTGCATTACAAGAAAGAAAGTGAAAACATTTTTCATCCAAAGATGTACTTATTTATCTGTGATTAGAGGATCTATGTACTCATGTTGGATGATTTTTCTACTTATATATGAACCTCACCTTGTTATGTACCACAAGTAATCACTGTTATCTCTGGTGATGTTTATCTGCTCTAAAAGTCCATTAGCTGCAAATGTTGAACCGTCCTCTAGAGAAAATACATCTTCACTATAAGCCCCCCAAGAGTGCAGCTGAGAGCCAGTTGGTATCATTTTCACTTGTGAAGTTCGCGTCCCAACCTTAGCAAGAAAAAGATGTTTCAAATCACTAAGCTGAAAATGAAGCACGTAGCTAGTAGTAATTCTGTTCAAGCAAAAATAGATTGAATAACAAGGAAAAGTGCACATTATACTGAAATGGTACTTACATTTGCTGTATTGAAGGCAACATGCTTGCAATCTGGAAGAATACTGATGGACCAAGGAGGTAGATTAAAGTGCTTGTTTTTAAAAACTACTCTAGCAGCGGAACTGCTGTCGTAGTTTGCAAGAAACGCTGCACAGTTTCTTTTGCCTGACGAGAATACATGAGCCTAAAATACATGACATTTTTTCTGATTCAGCAACACAAAATAGTAAAGCATATATCATATTTTTGACCCTTATTAATTGAGGACTAACCTCCTGAGAGCTTCCTAGTGAAATAACAGTGGGATCTGAAGATACTAAAGCTCGCTCACATAGTTTAATTGCCTTGTGGAACTCCTTTAGATGGCTATATTTAGGCTCCCTGATCAAACCTGATAAAATATGAGGGTAAGAAGTTAGCTGATAACCAAAAGTTCAATCTAGAGTTTGATTATGTCATGAAATAAAAGGACACGCCCTAAACATTGTCTTCGTAGTGATAATGATAACGTGAACTAATATATAACTTCGATTCTGTGTCCATATTCATGCACAAAAGGACTTTCTAGTCATGATAAGTTTTAATTCTGTCAAAAAATGTGGACTAAACTGATTAATCTCACCATATTCATCAATTGGAGCATCATAATCATAGCTTGTTGTTATAAAAGGCCCTCCCGCTGTTCGCCCAAAGTTGGTTCCCCCATGGAACTGTGAAGAGAAGGAATAGTTAAGGCAAGAAAGCGAAGAAATAGTTAAGTCAATCAAGATCATACATAACATGTTCGATTTGAATGTTGCATTTTCTTTTGCTGAGGAAGTTCATTTACCATGTAATAATTCACAAAGGAGCCACCTTTTTGTATGAAACGCGCAACCGCAAATGCCAAATCTTGAACTGGCCTCATAGGTATAGTGCCACCAAATTCAGTGAACCTTCTCTCAACAAAGAAGAATATGAGAATCAGTTCATAAAAATGAGCATATATTTGCATTACTCAAGTCTTTGAGAAACAAGATGTTTACCAGCCACTCCAAGCTTCAGTCCACATAGTTGGCTTGTAGGGTTTGTTGGGAGAAAATTCATCACAGTAAAAACCATTGCATGTATTTATCTGATCAAGACACATGGTTAGCATCCTCAGTCAATGGTTTCAAGAACATTATTCCTAAATCCGAGATAATAATGTACAAGTCAATAACCAAAACTGAGAATAAGGCGAAGAAAACTCACGATAGGATCAGGGGCATCATCCTCTTTGCACATAACCCAGGGAACTCCAGTATCTAATCCAACAGCCATTTTTGCAGCCCATTGGACATATGCTTCACCAGCCGTTCCAAGCGCCTTCCTTGCTGGTTCATATTCATTTTCAATCTAACCAAAACAACTTTAGAATAATTGCAGAACAATGGTGCAATATATAATGCATTCAGAAAACAGAAGTTCGATAAGTTTTAAATCACCAATACTGTGTCAGTTTCATACCTGAGACAGTATAATGGGACCTCCTTGGGATTCAAACAGTCTTTCACTCTTCATCATCTCAACTATTTTTTGGGTGAATGTTTGCATCGCCGCCTTTACAACAAAAAGAATTGAAACGTCAATGCTGCAACACTTGATCAGAATCTATCAACTTATTACCACATTTTATTTATCAGAGGAGAAAACAAAAAGAAACAATGATGCTACAAACAAACATGTTCAAATATCGGCAAAAATTGGTGCCATGTTTGCATAATAGCGGGTAATGTTTAGTTACTTGTGACAAAAGATAGTTCTGTGATTTTACTGTTATAGCGGACAAACCTTGAAAGGTTCATTATCCGTTCTGAAGCTGATACCAGGAACATATTTCAACCATACAGGAAATCCTCTGCAGTAGATGAGAGAGTACATAAAATCATTAGCTCATTCTTGAAATTAACCAAGAAAACTTAAAAAGAAAATACTAATAATAGGAACACAAAACAAGGGGGAAAGTAAAGCAATTACCCAAAATTCCACTCAGCACAAACATAAGGTCCAATGCGCAAATGTGCATAAAGCCCAGCTTTTTGCACAGTCTTTATAAACCTTACAAGATCATATCTCCCCTCAAAATCATACTGTCCACAAAAAACATAGCATATTACTTGCAATTAGCAAGCAAAAATAAGTAAAAAGCAAAGTCATTTTGGGCAAAATTGAAACACTCACATTGCCTGGGGAAGGTTCATGGATGTTCCAAAAAACATAAGTTTCAATGACATCCAAGTTTGCATCTTTAGCCTTGTTTATGAGATCTTCCCACATCTGCAAAACACACGACAACAACTACGTCTCAATCCAGAGCAAGTTGGGGGTTGGCTATATGAATCTTCATTGATCATATCGCTCCATTTAAGCTTATGTCGGGCCAATATTATACAAAACAAAAAATAAAAATATAAGTACGAGAAGTTCACTATATTTACTATCATATAAATGACTAAAAGACTTCTAGAAAATATAGGACCTAAAGTAAGTGCAATAGCATAACTTAAACTACATATATTCACAACTAATTAGTATCGCCTATATCTATCTTTTTCTTCCTTATGCAAAACACCATAACATTTAAACTCATCCTTACTAACAATGTCTGTCCAAGAATATAGTGCTGAAAACAAAACCAACAATTGGGGGGTTTTGGGGGGGGGGGGGGGTGAGTGGGAGAGTACCTCAGGGGTGCTTCTGGGATAATGTATGGAGCCAGAAAGAAGAATTCTTCTTTGGCCATTAATGATAATGGCCTTTTTATCATAAGTGACACTGCAACAAATCAACTGAGCTACTATTAGCAAGGAAATGGTATAAACTATGAGGAACTTGGAAACTGAGCTTGTCTCCATCTTTGTCTATTCACTCAAAAAGAAATCTAAGGAGGAGGGAAGTTTCTATTTTTGAAAATAAAGCTGAGAAGAAACGGTGGAACAACAGAGGAATAACACGAGTCAGGAATGGTAATCAGCAGAATGGCAACTATATATGGTGCTGTTTGGATTCTTCTTGCCATTAATGCAGTTTCCCTAAGTCCTATGTTCATAAATAGGAGCCTTCTCAAATAATAGAAGTAGACTGCAGTGTCATATGATAATAATAAGTATAGGTAATTTCAATTTCTATGCCGTTCAATTTCATGTGCATGTTCTCCAAGAGATAATAGAAAAACACTGTCAAAAATCTAGTTTATCTAGTATTTCAACAAATGGCAAGGCGGGTATAGCTAAATTAAACTAATGTGTACGGAAATCTATTGCACCCAGTTACTATAACTGTATATTTTTAAAAATTATTCTGTATACATTCGAAATCGGGCTTGCCCCGGAACGTGGCAGATCAAGGTTCGACCCCATGTTATATCGGACCATGGTGTAAAGATAGGTTGCCGAGCTCGTGACCCAAAGATCGATCGAGATCGAGGTCGGCCAAGATAGAAACCAGGCAGGATAGAGATCTAGTAAGATCGAGGGAAGCTTACCGAGCCAAATAACGGAAAGCCGAAATATCCGCAATCGGACGAGGATCACGGCGGAAATCTCGGCACGTATCAAGAATAGCCCGATTAATTAGCTAATTGTTGCTCCCAAACGCACATGCAAGTATACGTGGTCGACAAGTAATATAATGATAAGTTGAGTGTCGAACCCACAGAGACCTGTATAAACTACTCACTAAATCACTAAAATTGTTATTCAATCCAGCTAAATCAAAGTCCAATAATATGGTTATATTATACTACGATTCTAAATAATAACTAAATTATCAAGTAACGAGTTGATTGTTGTGTATTCAGTAGAGACAAGTATTCCAGGGTTGTGATCGATTCACCAATCCTATCGTGTTCTAGTTAACTCTTCCTCTCATACAATTCACTCATGGTTGCTTTAGGCGATTTGGGTCCGAGCACCTGGGTCTATGCAAGAGGCGTTGGCTATAATACACAAAAATCTAGGAATCGGGCGAAATTTCAGTTTTTATTGTCCTAAAATGTTAAATATCAAGTAACGGCCATGGCAAGGCATTGATTAATTTTCCTTAGGTAATTTTTGATGGGCCTGCAATATTTTAGCCAATTCGGGTCCAGGCGCTTGTGCCCATGCAGGAGGCGTAGGCTATAGCGCATGAAAATTTAAGAATCATGCCTAATTAATCGATAATTGCTCTCATAGCCTTTTCCCGAAATACTACCCGCCTATTCAAAATAGATTAACGCCTATATTCCTATGGAATCAATCTATTAAGAATGCATTAAGATTACGATATTTAATTAAGCACGGTGACTAGGTATATTCATATCCTAACCACAAATAAGCCCCCCTAAGGGTTAAGATCATGCTCTCTTCAATTCTTCTCTAATCTAAACACGGCTTTCCCAAGCATAGCATAGATAGTAAATAGAACGTAACTGCTGGCCAGACAATTAAGCAATTAAACACAGAATTGAAGAAACAACCATATATTGGTGAATTATAATCAAGGTCAAGCTAATATCAAATAACAATATTCATGGCTAAATCACAACCCCAGAACAATGGGTGTTTAGCCACTCATGATGTAATAAAACAATTGCATAATTGTTGAATCAATTGAAAATACTAGAAAAGGATGAAGAAAACTGAGAATTCTCTGCTTCCTCACCATCCCGTGTGTGTTTTTCCTCCAAAGTGGCGTCTCTCCCTTCAAAAAGGTATGTTTAGTCTTGCTTTTATACGTGTTGGGTAGGTCTAGGGCCGAAATAACCTTGTCCCGGGCAAAGTTGGACAAAACTCCCGTCACTGGCGCCCTGGCTAGCGCCAGGCGCCCTCCACGGCGCTCAAATATTTTAGCTTCTGTTTCTGGCGCCACAGGTAGGGCTGGGCGCCACCAGTGGCGCTGAAATATGCCCATTCCCTGTTTTCGTCTGTTTTGGATCTAATTTTGCACATTTCTCCCCCGATTGCTCCCGGATCATTCCTACACATAAAAACACATCAAATTAATATAAATCAACACATTTCACATCCTATATCCACGAAACAATAGTAAAATATGAGGCGATATACATAGAAATATATATGCTTTAAGCTAACATCAACACCCCACACTTAGACTCTTGCTCGTCCTCGAGCAATGGGACTATCAAATAAACCCCCAACTACGTACAAGTCTCAATTATGGAGGAGCACTTTAACTTTTAACCACACACTATACTCTTGACTATGATCAATACCGGCACACAAGCATGAATACACAAAATTTTCACATTCTTCCCGTTTAAGCATGCCTATGATAACCTTTCAATTCAATCTATTCCAACAACCTAATTGTCACTACCCAACCTCAAAAGTCGACTTGTAACCACTAAGCAGCCTCAATTCACGTACTCACCGAACAAGAACGTTTACAACATTACCAATCATTCATGAGATCATGTGCCCTCACCAACAAATAAAAGAGTGAATATAGATTAGTCCACACATTCAAATATGCTTTTGAATATAGATTAAGGACATCACACAATTGAACAAAATTCGCTCACTCTCACAAAGAATTCATATGCATCCCGTGGTCGTACCATAAGCTTGCCCGTAGTGTATATCTCTACTAATTTAAGCTAGTGTTGGCCCAAGTAAAGGTTAATTTTGAAGACTGACAAAGGAACTCAGGCATGAACCAGGTCCATCCCTCAGGTTCATAAAAACGGGCAGATTCGAGCATGTGGGATGCACGTGAAGGAGATAAGCTTAACTTGGTGTATTTAATATCTCCTGATCGAAAAGGTTGCATAATTGATAAGAAGAAGGAATCCTTACTCAAAGAGAACGTTATCCAAGATAGGGAATGAGTTAGAAGTTGAGATCAACTAGAACTCTTCCACCAAGGAAGAGTTGCATCAGAACTCTAGTTATTTCTTCATCTACTAACTCTATAAATTGCAGGATGTTCTCACACTCATGTGTTGCACAAAAACGCAGAAGTTAAACGTGAATTGAGAGCAAAATAGCAAGGCTTTTTGCATCCAGTTCGTGTGTGATTCAAGTGTGCAAACCTGAAGCTACATGAACCAGATTGAAGAACCAGCTCCATAAAGAGTTTTATGTGTCTTTCTTTATTTCTAGTTCAATTGTAGTAGGTGTTTTCATATTGTACCTTTCAGCTTTATCTAGAAGTAATTGTAATGGGTACTTTGAGTGTTCAAGTTAGAGTTAACTTGAAGTTGTCGCAACAGTTTAGGCTGTGTGCCACAACGGGATTAGAGTTAATTCTTAGGTTTACAAAGAGTTTTGTAAATGTTGTTTTGGCTCAGTGATTTTAGTGGAAGTTTGGGAAAATCCTACTGAGTAGTAGGTCGTGGTTTTTTCACCTTTTGAGCCAGGTGTTTTCCACGTAAAAACCTCTGTGTTCTTTATTTTCTTTACTTCTTATTCCGCAAGCAGTAGTAGTTGGAACACATAGAAGAACCAGGTCCTTCTATAGTTTAGTTAAGCGAAAATTGGGTACCACACAAATCACCCCCCCCCCCCTCTTGTGTGGTATTGAAGTATAAAACATCAATTGGTATCAGAGCGGGTTATCCTTGAAGAGGCTAACACCTTAGGAAAAGATCAAGATGAGTACACCACCTGAAAACTGGGAAGGGCAATCCACTGCTAGGCCCCCACTCTTTAATGGTCAGTACTATTCTTGGTAGAAGAACAAGATGAGAGATCACATTATAGGAGAAGACTATGAACTCTGGGACATAGTCACTGATGGTCCCCTGGCTACTACAAAGAAGAATGCTGAAGGAGTGGACGTGCCAAAGACAAGAGCTGACTGCACTGCTGAAGATTTGAAGAAATGGGAAAAGAATGCCAAGGCCAAGAAATGGCTTGTGTGTGGACTAGGTCCAAACGAGTACAGCAAGATTCAAAGCTGCACCACTGCTAAGGAGATATGAGACACTTTACAAGTGGCTCATGAAGGAACTCCTCAAGTAAAGAGATCAAGAGGAACATTGCTATATTCTCAATATGAGAATTTCACCATGAAGGAAGGAGAAACCATCCAGGAGATGTACACAAGGTTCACAATACTAACAAATGAACTTAAATCTCTTGGGAGAATTATCCTTGAAAAAGACAAGGTTGAGAAAATCTTGACAAGGGTCTTATCAGTAACTTGGGAAAGCAAAATCACTGCTATTCAGGAATCAAAGAACATTGCTACTCTCAAGTTGGATGAACTGACTGGAAATCTCACTACCTATGAACTGAGAAGGCAAACCTTGAAAATGGATGCACCCAAGAAGGAAAGGAGTCTGGCTCTCAGAATAGCTGAAGGTGAAGATCTAGAGGATGATGAAGTGGCCATGATCACAAGGGATTTCAAAAAGTACCTGATGAGAGGAAAGGGTTCTTCAAGAGGTACAACCTTTAACAAACCAAGAGCTCCTGAGAAACAAACCCACGAGGGTTGCTACAAATGTGGCAAGATTGATCACATGATCAAGAACTGTCCCCAGTGGAAAATTGAATGGAAGAAGGAAAGGGCTGAACGAAGGAACATGAAGAAGGAACAGGTTCAACCCAAAAGGAACAAAGGATCAACAAAGGCTATGGTTGCTGCTTGGGGAGAGACATCAGATGAAGCTGGAGATGAACAAGCATTTATGGCCATCGGAGAATCACATGATGAACAAAAGGTAAGTGTGACTCATCTCAAAGACAAGATTAAACTTCTGTCTAAAGAAAGGTTATTTGAACTATTGCTAGACTTCATCGATGAGTCTGAGATAATTAACAATGAGAAGGAACAGATGTCTAGGGAGTGTGTGATCTTAAAGACCAAGTGCAAAAACCTAGAATTTAGGGCTAATGAGAGTGACAGTAAAAATGCTGAGTTGAAGAACCAGGTTCTTGAACTTGACACCAGCGTCTTAGAACTTAGGTCTGAAAATTTAAAACTGAAATTAGGAACAGGTACGAAAAAAGCTGATCACACACATCTCACCTTAGAAGAAAATCTAGGAAAGACGAAGGATGAGTTGTACAAAAAAGATGAGCAGATAAGAATCTTAATAGAAGATCTAGGGAAAGTAAAGCATGAACTAGACAGAACTTGCAAATGGAATAAGGCTTCTGATGCACTATCCTGGCTACAAGAACACCCAGTAGCAACAAGAGAGGACTTGGCTATGGGACAC